AGACGTTTTGAAAGACGTTTCAATCACAAAATTTGTTACTATGCAGTAAATTGCAACTCAAAGGTTGTCTCGTACCATTCTCATAAAATTACTACCTGACTTGTACTCCATGCGCTCAAGTTCCTATCAACAATTTTTTTAAGTTTCCTTTTTTAACTAATTCTTCTTACAGCCGGATGGAACAGATCTGTTTGACTTTGTCCATGGACATCAAACATGGACTGAATACCTAGTACACATGGAACAAGATGGCGCTTGGGGCGATCACGTGATTCTGTGTGCCGCAGCAAACTACTTTGAAACGTGCATTCGTGTGGTCAGCAGTCTATCCCATAGCAATGATGTAATCATTACGCCACATTGTCCAGTTGACGAAAGCAAGCCTCTCGTGCTGGGACATATTCATGAGATGCACTATGTCAGCCTTCAACCCGTGCAAGGTAACTGGGGACTATTGTCTGATTGGCTGGGAGCAACTCTAAAATCCTGGTGTTCTATTGGCTAATCCAACAACCCATTCGAAAGGTGGGAAACCGAGAGATGGCGGTTGCAGCTTTGGAAGAGTTTTTCTCTCATTCATACTTTGGTCGTTGTTTTAATGGAGACCTTGCTACCATTGCGAAAATCTGACATGGTAGTCACAATCATTAGTGCCTAATGATCATTGTGGTGAACCGTGATTCATCCCAAATAAAAACGACAGCGAGTGATCTTAAAATTGGACGAAGTGCAAGCTTACACGAGTGCCGATCAAGAGCGAAATTTGAGGACAGCGAATCGTTTTTTCTTTTAAAATGCAGTTTTTCGACATCGTTTGGGGTGGCAAAGCATAGTGGAGTTACCATAAACAATAAAGTAGATCTACCTTGAATAAAATTGCGTAAATTTGGTGTTCCTTTGAAATGATAGTCGTTTCTGGTGAAAAAAGGAAAACTTTGCGCCTGGCGAATTGGAAATAAACAGCACCATATTCACAGTTTTCAGAATCCCCTCTACAAATATTCGAGTTACGATCCAAAACAAACAGAGGCAGATGAACTTTTAGTGGAAATTCAAAATGGCAATGGTTACTCAACTGGTTTTGGTCGTTCAGAATGAACTATGGCCTCAATCTATGGCCTTTCATAGCACGAGAGCAACGCGACAGTCAGTTTACTTCATGTAGAGTTATTTGGCTTTAAGTGCCCTAGACTTTGGTCGTGGAAAGTGATACATAAATTCCAAACAACTGGTAGTAGGCCTTTTATCAAAGAAGAGCTCCATAAGTACAAACAGTCATAAAAAGTAACAAGGCCTAGAAAAAAATGTCGCAAGCATGACACCTTAGTGCAGAGTACAGCGGAAATCTCATCATAAGTGGAGCTTTATTCGATCTTTGTTGTGTCCATTGGTTGGTTAATTTTCCGGTTTTAGACTTCAATTGTCATACTATATTAATCGATGAGTCCGTTCAGCATGTTTTTGAAACATAATCGCCTCTCAGTGATGTTAAGTAATTGTTGATACGACACGCCAGCGAATGTGGCTGCTTAAAACACGAATAATTTCTAGCTCTTTACGCTTTCTTGAGGCCAAATATCTGAAACGGGAGAGTGATGCAGCAATTTCCTTATTCTGAGTATAGAATTGTAAGTAAGGAATTATGAGACCTTAAAAAAATTTAAACTAAAAATTTAAAGAGGCAAGGGGTGTGAAAGGCGAATAAAAATAATAAGAAAACACATAGTCCAGCAACCAGTCAGAGAGCAAAGAATTCACATTTCTCGTTACCTTTAGTTACAGAGTATCACCTCTATCAACTATTTACAATTTATAGATAGTTTTTAGTGTCAAATTCTACATCTAACATTTGTCCACATGTATATGCTTATAATATATAGATTTAGCCAAGCCTAAAAGCGGAGCTTGCATTTTTTTTCCCGTACGTCTCAAGGGCACAACGCCTTGCCCCGGCCAGGACTAGATCCTGGGTCGTCCGACTCGGAGGTCAGTGCACTGACCACTGGACTACTGAACAAAGCCGTGGCATTGGCGTGCCCGCGGTACAGTTGACCACGCATGTTGAAAGTAGCACCTTGTGCGGTGGTACCGTCATACGGTCGTACATCCAAATTTTTTCGGCTTGATGGGTTACTACTATTTTGTATAATTATGGGGCTACGCTCTGCGAGCTCCGCTATCCTAAGATTACAAGTTTTACTAAGACTTGCCACTTTGTATAATGTTATAAAGATCTGTTGTCAAGCATTTAAAGTTATACAGAATAGCAGTAATCCTGGAGGACTGATTGAAACTAAAGTATAATGATAAAATAATAATACCTCTACACATACAACAAACGTTGTTTCTGGAGCTTGAACACTTTGCGCAAAGGCTTCTTCAGCAAAACCGAAAAATGTTCACCAGCTAGGTTAATTTGCAACATGTCGTTGGATGTTAATAATTAACATTATTTGAGATTGTGATTGTAACCCAACGAAACTAAACCATTACATCAGACAGTGCTAAAAAAGAGTTGTCCCAGGTCAACCAGTGCTTAACCAACTTAACAACTTATCAACAATCATCATTATTGATACAACAATAATTATTACGATCACTACATGAATTTTTTACCTCACTTTACATTTAAGCCGGGATGTGTAAAAATAGTTAATATAACATCTGAATGACGTGTAGCTGTTGTATTCAACATGCCATTGAAAGTCATACAATGTTACTATCGAACTGTGTCAAATGGCTGACAGGAGCCTATTTTGCAACAGTCCATGTGGGCTCAATTGTACTTATATATGTGACATATTTAACTACATTCACCATCCCTGTGTAATTTTACTGTGATTAGAAACTTGACTCAAAGTGTATTGACTTTCTCCTTAAAATTTGAAATCATACCAACATTGGATAATCTGTTATACCTTTCTATAACCAGATACCATCAGCTCATTCCCCCCTCCCTTGGACCCTTATTAGAACACATAAAAGCAACCTTAAGTACTAGAGAAGAAGAAGAATAATAAATGGGACAAGATGCGTAACAAACCAACCCAAAAGCTGTAAGTAGTATAGTTAAGAATAACAAAACTAAAGCTCACTTGAAATTTTAAATTTGGAAAGATTTGAACTAGAAAATGTGTTAAAGAAAGAGAAAACGTCATGGTTTAACATATTAAATTGAAGCAGCAACATCATCTCCAAGCAACATCTTCTGACCATTTCTCTGGCCAAAAGTAGGAAAAGGGGTTCAAGTATTCAGCTGACAAGTAACTAAGGTGACAAAACAATGACAATATTATTTCAATACATAAAGAAAAAAATTAACATAAACAAATAACTTGATTTTAAGGCCTCCCACATCCCTAAGCAGTGTTTTAATGCCCTCTTCTCTTTTGCTGCCAAACCTGTATGATTATGAGGTAATAAACACAATAAAAACAATTCATGAAAATGAACATAATTATATAAAAACTTTATATTCCACATTCTCCCTCCCCCTTCTCTATGCCAATCAGAGTCCTGATGAATAGCCACAAAACCAGAAACTATACCTTTTCAACATTGCCTGTGGGATAAAACAAGAATTGGATTTCATTCTTTCAACTGTTTTCCACAAAATGATCAGCACATACTTCATATGATCACACAAAATTTCATGTACCTTTCAACAAAATTTTTGACGGGA